CTAACAGAGCAGGATTTCACAAGGGTACTATGTTAGGGTCCCCTCTTTTAGGAAACCTTACTTTGGGGGGTCCTTATAAGAATCCTACGATTTAGGGTACTATGTTAGGGTCCCCTCTTTTAGGAATGCTTGAGAGAAGTGTGCGGGTCGCAACACAGATCTCCTGTTAGATGTGATCCTCACTTCTCCCCGGAAGTTCGTCCCGGGAGTGTGGGAAAAGAGCCTTCGCCTTCGAAGTCTTCACCAAGAATTCTTTGAATCCTCAGGGCTGGTCTAGGACTATGCAAATCTGGTGTTCAAGGCTACCGGGCGATCATGATCTCCTGTATGTTCCAGAAGAACTAGCACCTAGCACCATCACTACAATGATGACAGGTGCTATCCCTGCGAGTCTGAGACATAATACGACTATTCCCATGTGGACGACCTTCTTCCCCTGTGTTGGGGTTTATAGGGAATGGGGCTCAGGGCTTTAGGGTCTGGGGTTTAGGGCTCAGGCTTCAGTTGAAAAGGGCTAGGACATGATCTCGGCACGAACCAAACTATTTCAGTAGCAGTGGCAAGAAGAAGTGTACCATAAGGACATGTACGTGGGCTGCGCTGCAGGTTACCATAAGGGCTCCTCCTAAAACACAAACACTCTACCTATCAGGGTTTGAAGCAGGTTACCGTTTGCTAATCCTCGTAGCTCCCAGACCCGAACCTGTAAACCCCTAAACCCTACCTAAACGCTAAACCCCCAAACTCCGTAAACCCCGAAACACCCTAAACCCTAAACCCTAAACCCTAAACCCTAAACCACTGCTCAGAGCCGGGGTGGAGACTCCGAAGTTGGCGGCCACACGGCCTCTGGCCTTGGCCTTCGGCCTGGGCACTCAATTTTTCGATCATCGGGTGATATTGTAAAAAAGTAGCATCATCATCACTATTTCTATTAGTATTACTATTGCTACCATTATTAGTCATCCTCACTACTACTAAGAATAGCAATATTAATGCTGATAGCAAGAGTAATTTTAATAGTAATTATTACTATTACAACTACCAGTGCTATCAGCATTAGTAGTACTAGTGGTATTAGTATTACTACAACCGCAACTCCTACTCTGAGTCTTAGTCTCAGTCTTACTATTGCCATTACTATCACTATCACTATTACTATGATTACTATGACTAGAATTACTACTACTATTCCTGTTAACTATTTCCAGTACTATTACTGTTACTGTTACCATTACTATCATGATTATTATGGTGACACTTGTTATTATTGCTGAAGAACCCTTATATAACCCTCATACCATCCTTAGGTACAGCACCCGTATAAAAGTATAAAACCATATGCCATATACCTACAAAGTTGCTCCAGAAAAGGTTCAGAGAAAGGACTGTCGGCTCGGGAGCGTTCAATTCTTGGAGGGCTCAAAAAGGGTTTACTATGCTGCAAGCTCACGAGTGTTGATTGGTGGGTCTCAACGCAGAGACACCAGGCGCGACTCTTCCAGCGATCCTTCCTTTGGCGTCAATTGTTTCCTGCCGTCTTGGCATCTACGACAGGCGACACCAACATCCCTGTCAGGATTTTGAGGAACAAGTCGGCTCAGGGCCGTGCACTTGCAGGCTGGGCGTTTTTGCCGAAGCCTGCAGAGAACACAGCACATTTACCCAGAAAGTCCCACTTCTGCTGCAACTCAACGCTATCACGGCTGGAATTCGCAACCATGGACCATCGCCTCGCTTGAGTAGGACATGGGCGAGGTGGCCTTCCATGGCATATGGCTCAGGATGTCTTACCATACCACGACATGCTCTTATGATGTCTACACATGCTGCTGTCGTTGACGAGCGTTTGGTATATCCATTTCGGTCATAACAATCATCCTGATATTATGTCGTGAACATCATCATCGTTATACCATCATCCTCACACTCATCATCATCATCAACATCATCATCATCAGGTGCTGTGTACTACTACTACTACTACTAC